ATTGTTACTTCGTGGTGAAGTTGCCTCAAACCTGACCACCTCACTCTCGTAACCGCCTCAAACCTTACTGCCTCGCTCTCATAACCCATCGTGGAAGTCACGTCCACGACCCACTGTTATCCAACGAAGTCCGGAACATTTCGCCTGTATCCCTCACACGAGCATTATCACTTGTGTGAGCCGGCAACCCCCGCCAAATATCACGAGAGAGCAGGCAGCCGTGAGGTTGCTACCCATTGTTGCTGTGAGCAACGGCCTGCAGTTCAATACATCTCGACGCTGCACCTATGGCATCAGATGATGCTACTTGGGGCATACTCGGGGCTCCACCAACACTGCTTCAACGGTTGAGCCACAGCAAAGACTCGGGGGTGCTAACATTACTGAACCCAATCTGTGAATAGGATTTTTTCTCTTTACAATATTTGGCGCTCACACGCTACATCCTTGTTCGCATTCAGCCCCAACCTGTAAATGTCACCAGCCAGTTTACATCTCGCAAAACTCTTGCAGCAATGGTACAAAACGCTTCCATTCGTTGGCTCATACCAGGCCACAGCCCAATTGACAGTTTTCTCATCAAAACTCACTTGCGCCTCACACTACACTACTGCAACTTTTCAACGTGCGGGGCATCAACACCACTGCCAGCACCAAACCACCCTTACACATCCATTGTGGTCCAACATCTTTCTTGCAGGCTGCTGTTGCATAGAATGCGTGTCCACTGTGACCAGCAGCCGACCAGTGCTAACGCACCCTGAGGTCAATGCAGGTGAGCAGCATTAGGGAAACAACCTCGGGTGTGGAAACAAATCCATTTTGCTTTTCCACCTTCTGTCGCCATAACAAGCATATAATTGAATCACTTTGTAGCCCACGGCTGGCATAAAAGCCAGCAGAAACAATCACCCTCCCCAAAGAAGAAACAATGCCCCCCCGCCATAGCAAGGGAAATCACCAGCTCTCAAATTCACAACGGCCTCCCAGCCGAGTCGTCCTTTCTGCACATCCAACACGCACACAAGCCATGAGGTGCAGCGTACCCTGCCCATTCGACCACCACAACTTGCCACACACAGTCCCCACATAAAAGCACGACAGGACAAGCAGATTTGCTGGGCAGCGCACAAGGTGAGCAACACAAGTGTTTCGATGTGCATGAACGCCCTCTTGTATCCATACTGCTGTTGGCCAGGCGCCCCGCGGCCACTATCATGCAAGGCCGTTGCAGTCCATCATCACCAGCACAACGTCCAATCCACGAAAATGGATGAAACACCAGCTCACTCCAGCAGACAGCACACATCGCCTGCGGACCCATCCAAACGGCCACTGCACGCTTCCCAGTCTCGTTCACTCCGCCGCAACCCCAGGATCGCTCACCTCACTGTCAGGGCAATCGGCACCGCGGTGCCCCCGCCCCCGCAGCTGCGGCACTTCATGTACCCCGTGTGGTTGCAGGACTGGCAGCCCGCGTCTCCGTCAGACCAGCGGCTGCAGAAGCAGGTCTCCAGCCCGGTGCCGCCGCACGCGGGGCACGGCTCGCCGATCTGCGACCGGATGCACAAACGGCACTCAGAATCCTCGCCGCAGCAATGGCGCAGACCTCCCTGGCAGCGCAAGACCTGGCACGTGACAACAAACCCCAGCACCCCGCCGTCCATACAGCGCAATGCATGCAGGCGGATCCAGTCGCGGGAGCGAGCACAGGCAATTCGGGAGCGCGGTTCTAGCACGGGTGGCTTCCATCGTCAACACTGCATCGAGGGAGGGTAGAATGGGTGGGAGCGGGGGAGCGGTCCCACAGCACGACGCGGATGCGACACGTCCAGCCTCACCTGGCTCGCATGCCCAGCGCTCTGAGTCAGCATGAGCGCCCCCCAGGCCACGGCCACGGATGAGGCCACGGCGGGCACGGCCGACGCCGCGCTGAACAGATCCGCCATGCACACGGTGGCCGCGACGGAGCGCGCGCCGCGCCGGCGCTCGGGCGCGAACGATCTGCCCACCGCCAGCCGCCGGCCCACCATGGGGTGCCAGGCGGCCACCGCCGGCCCCCTACGGCCGGGAAGGCCCAGGCGCATCCCCGCGGGCGCCGACGTCATTGACTTCATCCCAAATCGCTCTTGGACGGGCCCCTTTCGGGTGGAGGGCTGTGGGAGTGAGGGATGCCTCTGCGAAAGCACCGAGGTGCCAAGACGGCAAAGGGAAGAGACGGAGAGCCGGCTGTTTTGTCCGTCGGGCGTCGGGGGTCGGCCGGAGGCAAGCTGGCGATCCTCGCGGACGGAAGGGCTCAGCGTGCAGTCAAGTCGGGGGGCAGAGGTTTTGGTCGGGGTGGGGAGTGGGGCGCGCGTGAAGTATCCCCCATCCACTCAAGGGCACACGTCATCGCGTGTCACCCTGACGCCGCCGTATCTGTGTGGATCCGTGTCGCGCATGTGACCAGACGCTGTGTGGAGGGCGCGGCCCAAGCGTGTGGCGAGAGGGACCACGGGTGTGGTGGCAGTGAGGGGGGACAAGAGCGAGCAGTGGTTGCTTTCCCGAAATGTTTGTTGACCGAAATGTGTCTTTCCCGTCGGCAAACAGGCGGGTCACTGAACCGTGGGCGGGTGCACAGGCTTCTTTCTGACCTTTTCTGGCTGTTTGGCTGCTCGCGAAGCACGGCACGAGCAAGTTCACTCGACCACTGCAGACGCAGGCAGCAGGTCCTGTTGCCGGAAGTCTGCTTACTGTGCCAGCCGAATGTCTTGCGACAAACTCGGCGATGGGTGTTTTAAGGTTTGAATGTCCGAGATGGGTTAGGAGACTGCACTCGGCTGGAAGCCGTGGACATCCATTGGCCACCGCCATCAATGCACGCACCAACACAGGTGGAGGACTCACTGCGACTCGCCAAGTCCACAACGCCTTAACACGGCACCGCTGTTGGCCAATGCACGCACCAACACAGGTGGAGGACTCACTGCGACTCGCCAAGTCCACAACGCCTTAACACGGCACAGCTGTTGGCCAAGAGTGTTCTAAGGTTTGAATGTCCAAGATGGGTTAGGAGACTGCACACGGCTGGAGGCCGTCGACATCCATTGGCCACAGCCATCAATGCATGCACCGATACAGGTGCAGGACTCATTGCGATTCGCCAAGTCCACAACGCCTTAACAAGGCACCGCTGTTGGCCAAGGAAGCCCTTCGACAAAGGCGAAGCTCCAGCAAAGCCGACGATGCCAATCAACTCGATCTTCACTGAGTGGCCTCAGGCTCAACCAGGAGTCTCCTGGGGGATTCAATGCTCCGTGACCCACAGCAAGTCTTGGACGACATTGGTTCGTGGCCCAGAGCACAAGAGTTATATCTTTGAACACAAGGGCGCCCAGTCTGCAGGGTTGCGCCATTCGCCTGGGCTGCTGCTACCATTTCATACCTCCCCACTGCTTTGGAGTTGATCGTGTGGATGATCGCCACTGCAGCTAGTGCAGGGCACAGCATCTCGCATGCACAATAAACAAGGGAGCAGCAGTTCAGAAACCAGCGGGCAGGTGAGCATGGGAGTCAGAAAGTCCCCCTTCCAACAAGGTTGGATAGCAAATTTTTGCATTAAAACTAGAAATTGCACACTATGATACAGGAAGGGCAATCACAGGAAAATGCCCCGGGACTGTGGCACCTGGGGCAGTTATTCGTGGCCAACACTCCATCGCTGGTCCAGGATCGTTCCCAATACTGGTGCCCTTTTTATGGACAATAACCACAAGAATGTTCTCTCTCACAAACCAAAGGCTAAGCTGCGGCCATCGTGTCCTGGCCCCACTGCTCCCAACAGGGACGCCTTCATAACCAGAAGCCCTTACACGTCTCCAGGGCAGCCGCAAACAAAACCGCAGTGCTGGAGCTAGACGTCAGCCACTCAGGTCTCCACCCGCGGCGCGTCACTCCCCAGCCCTGGGCCCGTCGGCCCCCTCCCGCTGCACTCCCAAGAGCCGAATCTCCACACCCACCACTGCCAAAGCGGGCAGCCTTGATCTTTCGTCGCTCGATCCAAGCCAAGGTTGCTTATCTGTCCAGTTGTTTGCCGCCGCCGCTCCCTTTCCAGCCCTAAGCCCGGGACATTTCGCTGGGCAGGGCGGGCAGGGGCGCAAACAGATAGGACGTGATGTGGCCCCGGTCCTTGTGAATGTACCTGGGGGTCGGCATCTCCGTCGCGACGGGCAGCAGGCCCGTGACGGCCCTCTCGTACTCGGAGTGACAGTACATCCCGCCGCGGGTCGGCGCACTGACGGTTCTCCTCGCGTCGAAGTGCATGGGCACACCAACTGACGACTCCTCCTGAGCAGCGCAAACACAGACATCGGACGCATTAACATCATGTCGACGCCGCACAGTGACAAGTCAGTGGCGCGCGACCGTCAGGCGAGAGAGAAGTGTGCGTGCCACCTTCAGCGGTGATTGGGTAGGCCGACGTGGGATCACGGAGGGAAGGTTCTGGAAATTTCAACAGGCAGCGAGTGCTCCAGCCTGGTGGCGGTGGCACGGGCGGAGAGTGGCAGCCACAGGCGTTCGCTGATGCTGGACCAATCCGCAGCAATCGCGCCCATGTGAACCCATACTGGACAAGTGTCCAGCCAGCCGAATGTGCCGCATTCCGAGGGACGTCGGAACAGAAATGGCAACGGCGGGCGAAGAGGTGAGGTTTTCAGCGCTCTAAAGGGAGAAGAAGGGAGGTAGGTGCGTGGGATGGGGTGGGACCTCCCGCCAACACTCACCACGGGGCTGGGCCGCCTGCCGAACGACACCTTGGGGTTGAGGGAAGCTGTCCACACGCCACATAGTCGCCCACATCAGCGTCCAGCAGCCCACGGGTGACGCACGCCACCACACCAATTGTCGCCCGGAGCGCGCATGGCCGGGCCCTTCAGAAGCGGCGGGGAGAGGTCACCTTGGAAGCGCTTCACCGCGCGGGCGAGATGGCCCAGGATCTTCAGGCGCGGCCTGCGGGGCGCCTCATCGGCGCCGGCCCAGTCCTGCCTCGTAAAGTGAGCCATGGCGCCGTTTGGAGAGAGTTACGCGCGCAGAAAATCTATCACAAAGTGAGCACTGGCCCCCGGAGGCTCAGTTTTCGTCCTTGGGAAGGCGCAAGAGTGAAGAGAGTTGTGACCTGTGGCACACGGTCTACGGGCGCGGACCGCGGATGAAGGCGCCAAAGGGTGCGGGGGCAGGGCCGAAGGGCACCAATTCCGGCCCGTGAATCACGCATTTCATCGCGAAGTGGGCGGGGATGCTCGTGACAAGGAAGGTTGAGAGATGTGACATCGCGTGGGCAAAAGGGCGTTCCGTGGCTTGTTGCCCAGAGGGGAAGCGGGGAAGCACGCACCGACATACAGAAACCGCCATGGTGGTGGTGGGAAAAAGAGTGTGATCGCAGTGTGAACCGCTGGGCGCTTCCTCGACGGTGAGCGAGTTCACAGCGACATGGCATGCCGACCTTTGATTGTGCAATACGTCACCACAGCGCGAACATAAATTAACGCTTCAGTTTCATCCAACGGTTTTATCCAACGGTTTGGTGTGACCACGACGAATTGCCTCCCCTTACACGCTCAAGTTGGCTGCCGGTGGGGGGCAATTGGGCCCGAGTATTATTCAACCGCACTGGAAGCGGCCCATGCCGCCCTGGCAATGCTAAGAAGAGGACCAAGTCCCCTCAACCTCTCCAAAACATACCTCAAGCGTTTAAGCGGCATCTGCCATCGATGGGAGGTAATTGGCTGCATCCTGGCGGCTCCGCAGCCACTGCAATTGCTGCAGTGCGCGGGCCCCCAGCACCTTGTTCATCACCAAGAAATTCTTTGAATGTTCAAGCTGCAGCTGGCCGCGCTCAAGTTCATGAGGTTGCTCAGTACAATGCCCAGGAGGCCCGAAATGAAAACAAGAGCAATCCAATTCCCGGGCGTTTCAGCCAGTATTAGCACTGGCTGGCTGGTATAGGAATGGTAGCCAGTAGTCCAGGGACCAGTGAATATGACAGGGAAGGTGGTATTCTTTGTGTTTTTATGGTAAACCGTGCCAAAACGTGTGAAATCATGTACAGTAACCCAACCGTTCCTACACGGAATTTGATCCCCTTTTTATACGATAAGTAAATGATTTTTACACTATTTTCAATCAATTTACACGAATAGTATGGTACACGCTTTTGAAAGCCGTGTATTTTGGCCTTGTTTTGCTAGTGCGGTCTACATCAGGGATTGAGAGCTTCCGTGCATAGCTGACTGGAACCACCAGATGACCAAGAGCATCCCAGTCTGCCATCATCTATTTACAATTTTGTGCGATTACCCCAGATGTTGGGCAGAGCGTTTAGGGAGGATTTCCTGCCAACCGAGGAGTGCATTGTATCGTCAGCACCACCATTGCTCGCACAGGCGTCTCCGGATTGGGCCATGTTAGAATTGTCTCAACCAACAACTATGCAGGCCGTGGCAGCTCTGGACAAATGCACTGCAATAGCTCCAGCAACTAGACTAGGACGCTGCAGGATGTTCATCAATCGGGCAGAGGATGTTTGCTTTGAAACATTATTCAAGCACCATTCCGTCTTCATCAAGAGTCTGAGGAATTGCAGCATGCATGCGGGAACCCGCGAAACTGCACGAGCGTTGTGTAGGAAAGTGAATCATGCGCATGTTGAAGGAATCGAACATGTCGTGCATCCCTCGTTCCAGGTGCTTCAGCCGTGCAGTCCATCCAGGCTTCGCAGCAGGGAAGGCCACAGGTCAACACAGGATCACTTTAATTGTCTAATAGACAGTATGAATGAGGCTGCATTCTGGCTTTACGAGTTCCCAGTATCAGATAGAGTCTCTCAGTCACCCGGATCTGTCGCGGCCTTTGCCTTAGAACGACTCCTTTGGCAGCAGTGTAGAACCGCTCTTTGTGCAATAGTTTTCTTGCTATTTTGGCCACAGTGCTGTCTTGTGAGCTAGACAATTGTGTTCGATTCTACAACAATGGTCAGGGCGTTAATGTGGCAAGGATGGCGCTGACAGCTATTGTCTTGGACAAATGCTGTGGTGTATCTACTTTTTGTTCAGAAATACTGGAGCGGGTGCCATTTCAATAGATTCGTTTCACCACCGGCTGCAAATTGCCAAAGCCATGCCCACCTTCTGCTCGTTACCTACCATTCCCACTTCCCCAAGGACTAAGACCACTGCCCCGAAATTGGCCCATCGCCAGGGCAGCTGCGGGGGTTCACTACCCCGCCCTCGACTTGTTCCTGGTGCCGCCCCCCAAGCACACGCCTGCGATGGCCCGAGTTGGAGGTACCATTTGGGCGCCATCCAGGACCAAATGACTGCGCCCTGGCGGCCTTCATGTCTGGCGCGCCCGTCTGGTGCGGGGTTCGGCCATTTTGCGCAGGGCCGCCGACCCGCGGGCTGCCGTTCCCGCCTCCCCCGCCCCCTCCGCGCCGCCGGGGCAGCGCCGGGCGGCGGCCTTGGGGCGGATTCCCCACCGTTATATTGCCACGTCCCCTGGCTCGCCAATCGCTGAGGCGGCGTCCAGCCCGCGTTTTGGAGGGCTGCACCGTGAGGGGCGGCCGCGGGGCCACAGGGAGCATCACGGCGAAAAGCCCAGCCAGTCTCGTTCAGTCCTGGCCTGGGCAGGTATCGGTTTTTTGATTGCCGCTGGGAACGCGGGTGATCTGTCGGCGAAGGGGGGTGTTCGAGTTTGCCGGGGGCGCGCCTCGCTGTCAGATCCGCGAAGCCGATCGTTGGGCGCGTCTTCGGCCTGTGGGCGCCGAGATCTGTGCACGGGATGGCCACGTCGGTGGAGGGAGATTCGGCGAAGGCGGAGGAGGCGGTTCCCCCGATCGGCGGCGGCAGATCATTGACTCTGAGCGACTTCCTGAACGAGCTGCGGGAGACGGTGAGCGGGCGCGGCGTCGTGATGGTCGAGTTTGGCACTTGACCATGGCGTTGCTGGACGGAGTCTGAAGTCTGGGCTCCGTTGCGGTTCCAGGGCCTGGCGGAGTTCGCGGCAGACGTCGGGCTGCTGCCCACGACCGCTCTGGAGATCTGCGGCAGCGGTGAGCGCCTGCTCTTTGCGCGTTGTGTGCAGGCACAATCCGAGCACCACCGCCCCCACCTCACGCCTGATCCGCTGACCCAACCCTGTCTGATCCCTCCTGTCTGTCTGGTCCCTCCCTCCCCACCGCCTCCCACCCTTCCCGCTCTTTTGCCACTGGTCACGCGTACCGCTGCCCCAAACCCCGAATCTGTATCCGCAGGGACGCGGGCCGCGCCTGGCTGCTTGGGCCCCTTTGCGAAGGCTGCTCATTTGCAGCCTTGCACCCTGACGCGCATCCCGCACTCCCAGGCGCGCCTGCCACATGCACCGCAATGAATGTCCGCCGCGCAATGCAACAGGCCCTTCCTCCCCTCACAACACGGCGGCCTTGAAGCCAAACTCTGCCGACTCGCCAGACGGTAGCCGTCCGACGGATGAATTGCCCCCGGATGATTGTGCCCTCTTGGGCCCCGCCGTGGGCATCGTCGGAGACGTCGTATGCCAGAGGGCCATGCAGGTGTCGTCGTACGCCCACAGGAGGATCGAGCGATCAAGGAGGATGGATCACTGCGAGGGGCTGGGGCGATGTGAGGAGGCGCCCGGGGGGAAGGCGGAGGCGTTGGCCGGCGCGAGGCGGGGGAAGCGGGGGAGGGGCAGGGCGGAGGGGCCGCGCGGCCGCGCCGCGGGCAAGGGCCTGCGCCACTTCAGCACCAAAGTGTGTGAGAAGGTGGAGAACAAAGGAGTGACGACGTACAACGAGGTGGGGCGGGGAATGCGAGCCCGGCAGCGCGTTGGGATTCTCGCTGTGGGGAGAATGGGGACGTGGGGGAGTTCGTGGGGCGGGCGTGGATCTGTGTCGAGTGGACTGGTCGTCGGCGGGTGGAACCTGGGGCGATGACCTTTCGTTGGGGAGGATTCTGGTGCGCCTGTTGCGAGGAGGTCGTCGTTTGAGGAGGGCGGCGGGGTGTGTGGTTGCAGGTGGCGGACGAGCTCGTGGTGGAGCTGGCAGGCGTCGACAAGGCCGGCAAGTTGGACGACAACGACGAAAAGAACATACGGAGGCGCGTGTACGACGCCCTGAACGTCCTCCTGGCCATGGGCATCATATCCAAGGAGAAGAAACAGATCGACTGGAAGGGCCTGCCGTGCAGCAGCGACCGCCACGCCCGGGCGCTGGGAGGGCAGAGGATCAAGATCCTGGAGAGTATTGAGAGGAAACAGCGCCATTTGCAGGTGCACACTGAGTAGCCGCGTTCCTGTAGCAACTGTGACGTTTCCTGTCGCTTGCGAGGCAAGAACTCTTGCTAAAAGGGTTTTTGCCCAGTGTATGGCAGGTAATCTCTTTGTTGACACAACGATCTTGGGTGCAAGGATTGTTTGTGGATGGGCAGGCGTCCAACAAGTGCAGTTGTGGTGTGTCAGGAACTGGTGAACAACTATGTTGCCATCCGGAGCCTCCTTGAGCGGAACAAGGATGCGCCACTGGATCGCTGCCCAAACCCCAGGGCTCTCAAGTTGCCCTGCATTTTTGTGCAGGTGGGATTTCTTTTCAGGTGCCTGTTTGCAATCCCCACCCCAACACAGGGCTGCTTGCAGCTGAGTGTGTGATATTTGTCAATCGGGAGAGCATAACATTCACACCCCATATTACTTATTGTTCTGAACGACGCAGGGCTCATTCATTTTGGACTTCTTCATAGTTTTCATTGTTCTTATGCTTCTCAATCCCTTCATTCCTCATGTCGTTATGTGCAATGTGTTCTTTGCTTGGAGGCAGACATATGCAAACAGAATCCAAACTGCAGATATCTCTCCAGTGCATGCCAGCCTTCACCAACTTCCAGCGTCATGGAAAACGCACAAGAGCCTGGCTGCACTCAGGAATCCATGTCCTGTCCTACAGTGGGTGCATTTGATCCAATGTAGTGTCTCCTTTCACCTTGTTTCTCAATGATGTTTGCTGTCCTGAAACAGGTGCCAGCATCTGCTGGTGTGGTTATTCAGTTGACTGAAGATTGCCTGGATGCCAACTTCGATTTCCAAGAGTAGGTGGACCTACTGTTTCCGGTTGTGGAGTAACTCTGGATGCATCTGAGGCATTGGTGTTGACCTTCCAACCTCTATAGGCAGCAAGCATCTGCCGCACACCACACAGTTACAGTGATGAAGCCTTTCGCTCCAAAGTACTTCGGTTTATCAGAGACTGCAGGGGGCCAGAGGTTGAAGGCCATTGTGCCCAATATGAGTTTGCCAGTCCAAATGGACCCAAGGTGTAAGGTCCGGTTCAGAATCATGTCGTCTCGTAGAAAATGGCAGTGACGTTCTGCTTCTTTTTCAGTCCCATGAATGTGCTCACAGCAAATTCCGTCCCTCAGTGGCCAGAGTCTCCATTCCTGGCAGTAGTAAAATGACATATAAACACAAACAAAACACTCCAATCGGATCTGGCCAGTCCGTTGTCAGAAAATTCTCCTATGGTTGCAAGAATTCCTGACCATCAAACACTTCCTGGTGGACGTTGCTGCCAAGGATTTAGTAACACAATGCCTTGAAAGTGCAGGTTTGGTCTAGTGAACTGCCCAGAATAATGTGTTGACATCAATTCCTGGTTGAAAGTTTTCAACGCCTTCCACAGTGCAGTCTAGATCGCATGCAGGAGCCTGTGCATCTGGTTTGTGTCTCTCACTTGCCACTACCTTATCTCCACAGCTACCCCTTCCAGCTGCACGATGAAATGCACGTGCTGCGGCAGATGGGACTCCAGGGCCCAAAGGCTGCAGGGCCCCTTGCTGTACAGGAGGACACCCACAGTGCGAAGGCAATAGATGTGAGGGCCCCATCAGCGGCTGGTAAGAAGCAGAGGCTGGCCAGGCATGCAGGTAGGTTCAATGGCAGTTGATGCGTTCCAACATTTTGAGCTTTTCTGAGTATGCAGGTTTCTTGACCTTTTGTCCATTGAATGTCAGAGCTGGATATTGGCAAATGGTCTCTTGCAGCAGAGGCAGAGTCGATACTACTTTGTGGGCAGGGCCCAAAGTGTGGCTCACCGTGTGAGAATTGTTTGGTGCATCGGTATCAATGCTCATTCCCCTCATCATCATCATCATCATCATCGTGAATGGATTCCACTGAACTAGCACCAAGGCCACTGAATTTGCACCAAGCCAGCAGCTCTAAGAACGTTGCCTGCCATTTACCTTTGTTTGAATGGAAGCTCAGCGGGATGTGCTGCACCGTGTATCGCAGATCTGCAGAATGCTGTTCTTACCCTGTCCAAGGTGGATGTCCCCTGTCCAGGCCGAGCAGACTCTGTGTCTGCTGCGTCAAACTGTGAAATCAGCAATGGTACAGGGCTGTCTGGTGCTGGGGGAGAGTACAAGCTCCAATCGCCTGGGAGGAATCATTGCCAGCATTGGCTTTCTCCCCTCAAACTTGGGTGCTCGATGCCCTCTGCTTACTTTCCGGCAATGGCAAACCACGCCTAACATCGCATGCACAGGGCCCCCAAGCGCACAACAAATGACGCAGTGTTGGGTGTGGTATGGTTGTTGAGATTTGGTGTTGACATGACAGCAAGAGATGCGGAACTTTGTGCCCTTCCTGTGCCCAGATCATGGGCATTGATGCATGCGGCGTGGAGACTACTCCCTATCCCCATATGGGGCTGTACCTTATATTCCGGATGTGTGAACGAGAAGATCGATGTAGACAATAGACAGCGGGGTGCTGGGGTGAGTGGGGTGGGCCACGGGACGCGGGAACGGCAAAAAATGCAGCGATGAATAGGAAACGACTCGTATGCACTGCGAGCTGATGGCTTGCGTCTATTTACATTTGTATAGATGATCCAGGGGTGGTGATAATTGCCATCGGGCAGACCACCGGGGAAGGAACTAAGGACCCGATTTACTTGGTCTCTGAGCAACGAGGCCCAAACGAACGAGGTTGCGCTTGTGTGCTCTGCGCTTTGAGCCTGTGTGGGCGCAGGTGCGTGTAATAATAGCTGCGGCATGGTGTTGGCTGCATCGAGCTGGGCTCAATGAATTGGACCGACACCCCTTTGTTTCCATTGTGCTTCAAGCCACAGAAATAAAACCTGCTCAACCATCAAACAGACCCACCTGTTGCGCCTGTTGCATACAGGTCGGTGCGATCAACTTGCAGCAGCCCCAAAAGAAACTCATGATAGGAGACTGGGCACATGGCATGATTGCATTCCAGTTATGGAGTAGATTCGCAAGCTGCTGTCATGTGCTTTCTTTGTACAAGCACCTGCACTGAAGCTCCACTTTGGGGGATTGATCCTTGTGGGCACTTTGTTCTTGCTTCCATGGGCCACTCGTTGGAACTAGCGAGCCTGCTCAATGCATAAATTAAATATGATTGATGGTGTGGGTCACACGAGCCGCAATTCCATACAGCACACTGCCACTGGGCGGACCATGCATTCTAACGCATTGAGCACGCTGACAGTCAGTCACAGCAACACTACCACACTCCAAATTCTGCTGGCCATCACACACATCAGCAATGCAGCGGAGAAAGCATGCATCGAGAAATACACAGCATCTTGGCTTCCACTACATGCTCAAACATCCGCAGACCACGACGCAAGGGCACACAGGAAGCAAAGTGGATCCCTCAGCCAGTCATTCCAGTGCGTTGACTCCAAACTGCTTCGTGCATTCCTGGTACGTTGTCTGCAGTGCTGCCAAAATTAGTGCACCGTGCTGGGCTTGGAGACAATCGGTACCTGGCTGCTCATCCAACCAATTGAGCAGCCCGGCTCAACGGGCATTGCGCTCGCCTCACATTCAAGGGGCATGCCATCCTGTGCCAGCTGGGCACTATCTGCCTGACATGTGCTGCATGCTATCAGCTGATCACTAGGATATCCATTATCGCCTTGTTGCACAAATGAACCTGCACGCTCTGAGGTGCATGATCTACAACAACCTGGCACCAGGCTCATCTTTTCCTTCCAGCCACCGTTGGTCTTTCCACATCTGCGCCAACAGAGACAAAGGCTCCATGCATAGCTCATCAACAGCCTCACGTGCATAGTGTCACTGTGTGTGGTGTTGCCGGCAGCAGCACAAGTTGCACCAAAGTTGCAAGCACAGCGGCCTCTGATCAGGATATGTGCCCACAGACAACGAGTCGGGCAGGCTTGGGCAAGGCTGCTTCACCAAACCACAGCCGCCATCTGCTGAACCCCCTCTGGCAGCGATGACCACTCTGCTAAACGCTGGTTGCCATGGCCCCATAGGTTGGCTGAGGCTGGCAGTGAAGGTTTCCCCAGGCCCAAAGGGTAACTGAGGGGCAGCCTGGGGCCACTGGGTGCACCGACACAGAGCACCACTGTCCTTGCCATGCGCATGTAGGCGCCACAAGGCAAACGGACATACTTGGATCTGCAGGCCCTATGTTGGGGTCTTCTCGGAGCGCTGAGCAGGTGGCACATAAGCACCAAAGCCAGGTCTGACACGCCTTTCCTTCCTCTCGCGATTGCGGCATGTGCTGGCACTGTCAGTGGGGACTGGGCGTTCATCACTGCGATCCATACTCTTCTTTTCAGCTGGAGTTGGAGGCTTGTCGCAAGTGGCTCCATCAGCTTTGCGGGGTGGAGAGGGCAGGCCAAGCTCGCGGTTCTTTGTGTGTGGAGGTGTGTAGGCTCCAAACCCGGCCCTCACACGCACCTCCCGCCTCTTCGGCTTGCGCGTTCCCTTCCGGTCATCGAGGTTGCATTTTGAATTGAACTCGTTGACTAAAGTCTGCTGCTCTCTTCTCACTGCAAACAGACAGGCTGGTAATCATTATTTCAGAAAATACAGAAACAGCCACACACATGGTACCGCCCTACTAGCAAAAGCATTTTAATGGTGTTCTCCACCTGATCACAACGAGCTACAAATCTCCGAGTGCAATGGGTACAACACTCAGGACAGAAACAACGAAATAATAGGACGGCAAGACAAACCGGCCTAGAAAATCCGTCTGAGAGAAAGACTTCCACCACCAAGAAGCCATAGCAACACATGCCAGCAGTGATGCCAGCCGAATGCCTACCACTGTAATCAAAGCGCGTCAAGATTCGCACCTACGAACTCCAGTACAAAATCCCTGTTCACGGCACGCGGCCACAATACTCATTGTTGACGCATGCTGAAAATATAGACATCTAAGATTCCCAGACAGTAGAGTGTGGGAAGCCTACCCCAACCTTCAGCCAAAGCTCACTTTCGGCGGTTCTTTCCACCCTCTGTTGCAATTGCTCCTCCTCGTACTCCCGGCGCGCCAACTGGTTGTCCACCTGCGAACCAAGCACAGCAAGAGCGTAACTGTATGCTCGTGGCATGCAGACGAATGACGTCTTTGAAGCGCTCGTGGTCCTGGTCGTCTTTCCGGCCAGGTGCTTCAGGACGCGCACCCTGCGCGCTTCTCAGCCGGTGACACAGAGCCAAGAATTGACCAAGAATGTAAACCGCAACTGACGCGAGGGGCAGGTACGACTGAGCGAAACACCCATGCGCAGGTGCGTGAATCAGCAGCGCGAACCGCCCAGCACCTACTATGAACTTCATGAAGCCATGCTTCAAGTTGAGCCTGCGGGGCGGGGGCAAGGCTTCTCGCCCGGGAAGGCTGTCAAAGATGGCCGACTGGTCACCTCTGCCGCTAACGGCGCCGTAAACCTCTCTGGGGGATGTGCCGCCATCGCTGGCCACCGGCAGACGCCCGTCCATGAGCGCGCCGGGCCGGCGTCCTCCGTTGAACCTCGGCTACCTGGGGGAGCATGCTCTGCGACTGGTTCCGCTGGGTCATGTCTGGAACACGGCTGTCTCCAAACGCAGGCGCATGACTAACTTTACGAGGACGTGCCACGTAGCCCGGTGTGGTCCGCGGGAACGCAAAATCAGTGCTCAAGGGTAGTATGCGAAGAAGTTTCGGTGTCCAAAAAGCCTTTCTTCTCGAAAGGGGGGATTCCGATTCCGTAGGGAAGCCAGTGCTCCGCGTGAACTCCGCAAGCAAGTCCACCGGGATGAGATCCGCAGGATTGTCCCACGTGGTCGACGAATGCCCTGCCTGGGCCGAAGTTCAGAATCTAATTTCTAATGGAAAGCGTAAGACTCGCACACTCGGCTGGCCAATATGTTCGTCGGCGCGTTTTTTGGCCCGTCATCCACCGACACAACACTCCATTGCCCACGTCCTTCGGCTTTTCGCCGCTCGGGCACGAATCATGGGGAAGAAGCAGGCCAAGGCAAAGCAGGGCGCTGCGGAAAGCAGGTATCGGAAAAGCGCCGCTCGGGTGGGAGCCTCGCCCCAAAGAAACCCAAGACTGACAATCGCAACCAGCAAGGGACGTCAACCATCCGAACAATGAACCCGCTGCGCACAACCGTATGCTGTTCCTTTTTGAAAGATTTATGCCCGGCTTGTTAAATTGTCCGTGCGCGCATCCCCTTTTTGGGGCTGCCACTCGCATTGTCTGCCATTCACATTGGTGTTCTTCCAATGCGACTACCGCAACCCTTGGCCAACGATAGCCTTAAGCAAGACGCGGGTTGTCACGGTCGCCCCTTCGGCGCCGTGCGTGCAATCCGCGATGCTGTGGTGCGCGTTTGAATGGCTTTGGTTGTGCACAGCGGAGGTGGGGACAACAAACCAAAAGGGGCCAGCCAAGTGAAAGTGAGGCACATTCTGTGCGAAAAACTCGGCAAGGTGCGCCGTAGAGAAGGGCCCCCCGCCTCCCGTATGATGAAGCATGAAAGATGTCCAAAAAGATCTTGGCACAGTCGGTGGCCGTGCCCTTGAGGCCACACGGTCAATCACCTTGGGGGCTGACGGCAGCATTCCCTGACTTCAGGCTAATCAGGCGTTGGAAAGGATACAAGCTGGGGAAGCGTTTGAAGCGGTGAGTTGCTGTTTCTCAGCACATTCATTAGCACGGGAATTGCTGGACGGTATTGGGGCTCAATGCAAAGCGATTAAATCCATGAGATTGTGTTTGAAACACTTTTGTGAACAACAGAGAATAGCTTGTCAGGTGCCCAGTGGCGTGGTGGGCAATTGCCCCAAGCCATGTTGGACTTTGTGGTCATGTAAGCCCTGCACAGCCCGGACATCGAAAGCACATGGGGCTTACGATGATATGTGCAGCACATAGATGTGAAGACGGCAAGACTTGGAACCCAACAGTTCCACCTTCTGTGTCATGGTGCGACACTACATGTCTTACAAAGTTACAACCTCCTCCAATCGTTGCGTGTGCAGCTGATTTCGATATGGACAATCGCAGTGGTGATAGAGTCTCTGTCATGTGTGCACACAACTTGGTTCAACTGCTGACTGTCAAAAGAAGGTGCACAGCAAGCACATTGCAATTGCCACCATGTTGCAACCAAGTTGAAGCAATTGAGCTTAGAGACACACAGACAATTTGTGTCGTTTGCATCCCAGTGACCCTGTTCATATTGTTGCCTACCAAAACCTTGTACCACTGCTGATACCTCTGGGTATATCTTGGCTGCATCCATAGTACCACAGCCGACCATAAGGCCACCTCCAAATTGCCCAAGAGCTTGTAGAGGGTGAGTGCCACTGAGAATTGGATAATGGGTGTTTGGTGTGCATCCAGGTTGCACAGCAACTGTCAGAGGACAAGGCAAGGCAGGGAGGTGATCTAGGGTGGAAGCGCAAGGCCGAGCTGGTTGGGCCATTCGCTGATGCAGCCTTCAAGCTTGAGGTGCTATATCAGTCCACAGGGGTAGCTGACTTGCTAATGCGTTCAGTAAATGTGCTGGATTACTGCGAATTGACAGATCAACGAGTCTGTGCCTCTGCAAGGACTGTCAGCTACCTCTATAAGTGGTTTGTGTTGGTCCCTGGAGCCTGAGCTGTCCTGTTAAATTCGCTTAAGATCTGATAGTGCTGCCGGCTAACTGTCTGATTCCATTGAAATCCTCAGCTTTCTGCATCATTTGGATATGACATGTCAGCTCTTGCTGACTGATGCTGGCTTTTTGGGAAATTGTGAGCCAATATGAATAGAGGCGCTAACATTAGCACAATGCAACTGAATGAAAGCAGAGACAAAACAACAACACAATCTGTTCTGCTCAGCAGCACAGTCATTTGCGTGAGAACTAAACACTGCCACCACATTGATTCTGTGTTGTAGGTGGGTCAAATGACGCCAGCACCTGTCAAGAGCGAATTCGGATATCACCTAATACTGTGCGAAGGGCGTAAATGATGGATGGTGGGATGCTCATCCAAGGAATTCATTCCAGAGCGCTTTGCATTTGTAGAAGCCTGGCGTTTACTGGATGACAGCAAGGGGTTTTGTGAAATGTGAAGGGATGTTTGGCAGAAGTGATGCAGAAGAGCGCTTATAAAGCATGCGCATTGTGGGGTGGATTCCTTGACTGGCTGCTTTGTGCCAACAATACCAGTGGATTGTCCAATTCCAGTTCACAACAATAAGGAGTTGTTCTAAGAATGTGACGGTAGGATTGCTGAATAGACATCGTGCATTTCTCTGTACGGAGCCCTTTGAGCTTCTGCTTTCGCCCCATATCCTGGCCCTGCCAATTCGTATTTGGTCTGTGGGCTGTATGCATGCACAGTAATCATTGTGCAAGAGAGGTTTTGTCGTTCGGCCTTTATGCTGGAATGATCAGCACTGTACAGCACATATCCAGGATCTGCAAGTTTCAGTCGGCACATTGCTCTCTGCATCCGCATTGTTCAGATCTGCCAGCGTGTCAGTCGCTGGGCTCCGCAGTTATTGCAGTAACAACGTTTTCCTTTGGATGATTTGCCGGATTGTTTCCATTCTCGACGTTCTGGGCGCCTCTTGCGACGTTATCGATATGAATTCGCCACTGATGTCATTTGCACCATGGGAACAGGTTGCCATGTTCAGACAAAGAAACAGGGATTGGAACGTCGAGGGACCTTTCCTTGATATCCAGGCAACCAAAACTGTTTAGGCGGAAACCCTCACACGATATTTCCATGCCAAAGTCAAAGAGCACCCCCCTTAGCAGTCGATGGCTGCACAAAGCCCCTGCTGTCTCTGGATGCTCTCAAGCATCATTACGCAGGGCGGATTTCCTTCCCCGAAACCTAACGAGATGCAGCAAACTGCAGCAGAATGAGCTTCACAGGTTCGATGTATTGTTGTGTATTTTGAATGTGCCCGTCCTGCTGCACCTCTGGGGATTGAGCCGGGATGAGCATGGCTTCTGACGGCGTGCCAGGCCCAACAAATCGAGTTGAG